GGCTGCGGTGCTTAGGGCTTGTTCCCGGCTTTTACGAGGTGAGTAATACAGGGGATGTAAGGTTTCCTCATCCCCCGGTGTAAGGCGAGTCCACCCCAGGCAGCCGGCACTCCCTCCCCTGCCCGTCTTTCTCCTAGGGCTTGGAACTATCCAAACTAGTAGGGCAAATACTGGGTCAACTGCACTGCCCCAGAGATACTCCACATCGCCAAAAAAAGAAAGACATCCTTAAAGTGTCAGACGTGTTCCATGCAAACCATTAAAAACAAGCCAGACACTTGCCTACCCTCCGCCAGAGGGATGACTGCAAATAAAATTGCCCTCAACTAGCTTCCAAATGCTGTTTTCCAAGCAAAGGAAAATGGTATTGGGATTGGTTAGGAAGAGCTTTCATTTGAAACAGGGAGTCTAGTAGCATTTCTCCTGCCTTCATCCTAGCAGAGCTATTCCAAATAGTCTGCATACTTTTCCTTATAAGGAATATCTCCCATGGATCTACATGCGGTTTCTTTGAACAAGTTAAATAAACGTCCTGCTACGAAGCTGCCTCTCATCTATGCAGCCATACGCAGAAGACAGACATCTGATCCACATTATTCACAGAACCCCTCTCTCCCGTTCCTATGCACGCTTATGTTTTAAGTTCTGCAGTTCTTTCAAAGCCATACAACTTAACTGCCACACTGAAGTTAAAACTTTTTTATCCATTGTTCATTTTAGAAGTAAAATAAGATAAAAGCAGGTTGTCTTTCAAAGTTGCTTTTTGTAACATTTCCCCTTCTAAAAGTATCCTTCCTTCCCCCATGAAATCCTTTGCTTGCTTCATCTGTGGCAACTCCTCTTTTTATTATGGCTTTGAGGTGAATTTTTAAAGCTGAGTTACAGGAAAAGCATGGTCATTGCTTTGGAAATCCTGCAGCTCAGACCTGAGATTTACTCAGAGAGAACTGGATTGTAGAGCAGCAGCCACAGAGATGTGGAACTTAAGTGCACAGACAATAAACTCGCATGGTTCCATGCCTGCAATACATTAAATGCATGTCAGGGGCAGACAGGTGGGTGGGATGAGGGCCTGGGAGAAGCACAAGCTCTTGCATTATTACCATATAAAGTGCTGAGCTATATATATCTCCCAGCTTGCTCCCAAGATCCCTGTCCTCTGAACTGCAAACCTAGCAAGTATCATCTTCCAGACAATTTTCTCTCATGTAAGACTGAACTTCAGCAAGTGAAACAGTTCCAGTGACTTCCAGGAAAAAAAACCACCAGCAAACAAACAACTAGTAGAGGATCTTTTATCTCAGGGACCACTGAGTGAGCCAAACTAGTATCTAGCAGCAGTTCTAATGCATGCGTGCCTAGGAACAGCTCTCTCGAAGACAGAACTAGCAGCCCTTGCTCTTCTGGATCTCCCTCTCCTGGATCTACTTGCTACAAACTCTCTGATTCTGCTTCACTATCAAGATATTGTTGTTCCAGCCTGCTCCTTTTTCCCCATCACCTGAACGGCCAATCCACCCTTTCTTTACTTTCATGTCTAGAGCGGCAAGTACACATGAAAAGCATGTGTTGAGTGAGCAGAAACCCAATCAAACGCCTCTGATGGTGTGCAAACCTCATGCAAGGAGGCAGTGCTGTGTTTCACACCTCCCTGCCCAGGAGATGCCTGGACCCTGCCTTCAGCAAAGCTTTGGAGCACTGCTTGGTAGGAGTCCTGGCTGTCCTGTGCAGAGGCTGTGTGGAGTTTCTGTACTGGGACGGTGGTGAAAGGGATGGGGGTAACTTACATCTGTGGCCTTTTTGTCAGCCAGTTCCAACTTTTCCTGTGCATCTTTAAGGGACTCGGAGTATTTGTCCAGCTCATCCTCAGTGCCCTTCAGCTTCTTTTGTAGAGCCACCAGCTCGTCCTCCAGCTGTGATACGGGTGGAAGGTGGTGGAGAGGGGAGGGCGGGCAGGACAAGGTGCAGCAGGCAACGTGATCGTGCAAAGGGAGAAGTGCGAGTGCAGAAGAGACAGGAAAGGACAGACGGACAGAGAGAGAGAGAAGGAGAGACAGTTAGATTCTCTTTGCTTGCGGCAAGGGCACGATACCTTGGCAGCATTCTCCTCTGCGGAGAGGAGGCTATCCTCAGACTTGTGTAGCTCTTCCAGCACTTGGTCCCTTGCATCCTCCGTCACATGCAATTGCTTTTCCAATTGCACAATGTCATCCTCTAACTAGGTGCACAAGAGGAAACACAATGCACAATGTTTCTGCCTGCACTTAGAAAAGTGGGAAATTAATTTTTAAATCCCTCTTCCTTTCTCCCTCCTCCTTCAGGATCTCCCAGAAACATGCAACCCATGACACCCCTCCCCAAAACGAATACAGCCCCAGCTGTAAAGGAGGGGGATTGGAGAAGGCCATGAAAATGGGACACACATCTGGAAGGGGTGTATGGGGAGGAGGGGGTGCAGCTGGAATTGGACAAGTCTGCTGGGTGGTGCTGGACGGGGCAAACACAGCTTTAAGCGTCCTTTGAAAATCACAGCACTTCTGTCCATCGCTAACCAGGTGCACGAGGCAGCCTCTCTCCCAGCCATGCCCCTGTGACAAAGGCACAGAGGCCATGCGGCTGTCCTAGGGCCCCGCTCCCCACCTGCGGTGCTGAGGGGAAGGATCAATCTCCTGCCGGGCCCCCGGCAAGCTCCAGCCAGAGGCTGACAGGGTAAAGCTCTGCCTTAGGAAAAGTTCAGCCAGATCTGCAGGGGGTGGTGGGGAATACAAGGTAAATTTAAAAAATAAGAGAGAGAGGAGTCGTCGGGAAAGCCTTGCGCCCCGGCGCCGGCCGCGCCCGGGCCCTCGGTGCAGACCTGCTTGCTCCTCTCCTCCGCTGCCTTCTTGTCCGCTTCGGCTTGCTCGGCTCTGTCCAAGGCGTTCTCCTTGTCCAGCTTCAGCATCTGCATCTTCTTCTTGATGGCCTCCATCCTCGCTGGGACCCAGGCACGGGCGGTGGGGCGGCGGGCGGCAGGACGGGCAAGGGGGAGG